GTTCGACAAAGGGATTAGCTCATCGCAAAGCCTTTGCCCCGAAGTGATGGGTCTAGCCAGTTCTCCATAAGCTCAGTCTAATTTGCCCACCTGGCCTAGAGAGCAAGTTGTCGTGCGTGTCAAGTTCAATTTTTTTTCAGGCACATGAGTTCAAATTTGAAGTCTCACCATCAAGTGCCGAAGTGGCCGAATGGGGCACAAAATTTGAATTTTGAATTCATCGCCTAGCACTGAATGGATGGGGCTTATCTCCTCCATCGATCTAAGGGCACTTTCACTATAAATTGGGGGGGGGGCAATGGGTCCCCACTGCACTATTTGGAGTCTTCTAAAAGATTGCTTGGTCGAGATCTCAAGCAGCTCGCGGAGGAGTTCAGTTTTTACACGGGTCGGTCTTCTCTCAGTTTTCGGTGAGTCCTTGCTTTCTGCATTATGTCTAGTGGGTTGAAGAGGAAGTTTCCCCAGGCCACTTGAGACGAGGTGGGGACTTCGGCTCAAGAGCGATGAGGATCCCATAGAGGGGTATCAACCTCTCAACAACCTAAGACCAGGTCGAAGTTTGAACCTACCAAACTGAGTGGGGAGGAATTGATTGCCCTGGCAATGACCTTCCAAATCCCCGAGTCCTATGGTTTCATTCTACCCAAAGAGGATCAATGTCCTTAGAACCATGGGAGAACTAAAGTGTGTGTCTTCGAAGAGGCACTCATTGTGGGCTCCGTTTCCCATTGCACCCTTTTATTTGTGAGGTGCTATCACACTACAGCATCTCCTTAGGACAACTCCACCCAAACTCCATTAGGATATTGGTAGGGATGATATCCGTCTATTTCCACCTCGATTTTGAGCACAACTTTGATATTTTTCATAGGCTCTACCAAATAAAGAAAATGCACCGAGAGCCTTATTGTATTTATCTGAGCTACCAACCTGATTGCAAGTTGTTGAGTGGCTTCCCTTCGAAAGTGGCGGACTAGAAGTCGAGGTACTTCTTCTTATCCCAAGAAGATGGCTGGCCCATGGATACCACTTAGAGGAGTGAGGCAAGGAGGATACCTAGCATTGAGTTTGATGATGAGCTAGCGGACCATATTTTGTTCCTTGTAGAGTGGCACTCCTTGGCTAATGAGTTCTTATCTGGACCGATTCTCATTGGGCCCAGACTGAGTCTCGTGGGTAGGTTGCTAGCATGTTTTCTTATTATGCTACTCTCTTTAGATATTTTGATCTATTCAAATCGCTTTATCTTTTTGGCAGGTATGTTAGACACAACATTTGTTTTGGCTACAATGAGGAGGGCTTCTAGGAAAAAGAGGAGAGCACCGAGTCTACTCATGCTTCGAAGATAGAGCAAGAAGTTGTACAGAGGTTGTCGACTAGGGAGCCCAACGTGATGGACATCAATGACGATCATACATCGGTCCAACCTCCATTGACCCTGTGAGGATGCCTAACAAGTTCGCTCCGCCCCAAGCATCACCTACTAGGGATCCAGTTTGCGCGGCCAGGTCTACCTCCCGAATTGGGATGTCACTGCCATGGATAGGATCCGAGACCCTCGTGTCACCTTCGTGGTGAACGCTGACATACTTTTTCTTGAGGGCAGGAGGGACTTCAATCAGCGGAGTGTCGCCAACCTTGGTGTCTCGATATTCCAAGACTCGTTGTCGATAAGTACTAGTCCTTCAACACTTGGTCTTCGTATATGTTCACCTTGCTAACTCTTTCTTATTTGTAGGTGAGTTGTATGACCTGGTCTTTATGTGACCGTGCCATCACTATGGAGCGCAACAACAGGCAGATGACGATTGAGATTGAGTCCCTTTGGTCATAGTTAGAAAGTGCTCGATTGGAAGCCTAGGAAGATCGCCGACGGTTCCTCAATGCGTTGTCTAGCCTGACTCACCAACTAGAGGAGGCAAAGAGTAACATCGTCGAGTAGGCTCGGGAGCTCAAAGAGAGGCGAACTAATTATGCCGAGGACATCCAATGGGCGAAATAGCTCAACGCCGAGGAGTTCCAAAGGTTGCTTGAGTTCGAGCGCGCTGTTGTGCCTTATTTCAAGAGGGAATTTCGTTTGTGCCATCGCTACCTTCGACAACTACATCCTAACTTCAACTTCGGGCATGTCTCGGCCAAATCGGTTCTAAATGACCTGAGCACCCACATGGATGTTGAGTCAGACACTTCATAAGACATAGAGGACGGCGAGGACAAGATCAAGGAGGGCATTGGAGACACTCTGACTAAACTACCTCTTTTCTTGGACCCCCGTCCCCCCTTTTATAGATTGTACTTCGAGCTTCCAAGCTGAGTTTCTGTTGAGTGAACTGCCCTTTTGCTTCTTTTTTTTTTAAGTAGCAATGTAACTTTCCCTTTTGTAATGAAATCACCCTTTTACATATCTTGAGTCACCATTTGGACCTTTTATTTTCTATTTTTAGAAAATAGGTTAAGTGCAAAACATAAGTCGAGGTGCACGAATTGTTTAGATGTCGAAGAGACTAGGCTTACGATTTCAGCTGAGTCAAAATATTGTCGAACTATATATCTCCTTGGCTAAAAGTCAAAGTGCTGTCAAGCTGCCGACATCTTTCGAGGTCGGCATAGGGAAACTTAGAGCTGAAAACAGTTTGGCTTCCCCTTATTCATTTAGCAGTTTGACCAGTTCGCCGTAGTGGACGATCTATACTTTTGTTTTCGCAGACGCAGTTCAAAACTTCTGAACTCCTCATAAGTAGTATCTCTTTAAGTTATCAACGTCCCACACATGGGGTACCTGCCTCCCCTCCAACGTTTCGAGCTTATACATGCTTTCGTCAATCACCTTGAGAACTCTGTAGAGGCCTTCTCAGTTTGGACCTAGGTATCCCACGTTGGGCTCAGGGATCATAACCTTCCTAAGTACCAAGTCGCCAACTCAAAATTGGCGTCTCTTAACTCGAGCATTATAGTACTGAGCTAGTCGTTGCTAGCATATCACAATCAGGATGTAGCTAAGTCACAAACTTTCTCCACTAGGTCGAGGTTAGTCCATAGCTCGTTCTCGTTATCCTCCTCGTCATACATCACAGACCGCAAGGTCAGCACTTCGATCTCGGTTGGGATGACAGCCTCCATCCCATACGTTAGGTTGAAAGGAGTCTCGCCAATCGTCATCTTGATGGTAATTCGATAAGCCTAGAGAACATTGGGCAACTCGTCCACCCACAAACCTTTAGCAAGGAAAAGTCGAGCTTTCAGTCCGTAGAGGATTGCCCTGTTTGTCACTTCGGCTTGACCGTTCTCTTGGGGGTGGGCCACCAAGGTGAAGTTCTACTAGATTCCCATCTCGGCACACCAGTTCTGAAACTTAATGTCTTTGAACTGCATCCCGTTGTATGATATCAGCACCCTAGGGAGTTTGAATTTGTAGATGATGTTCCTCTAGAAAAAAATTTGGACGTTGCAAGTTGTGATGGATACCAACGTCTCGAATTCCACCCACTTGGTAAAATAGTCCATCACAACCACCAAGAACCTTCTCTTACCGGTCATAGGTGGGAAGGGACTGAGGATGTCTATCCCCCACTACGTGAATGGTCACGAGCTAGTAAGGTATCTCAGGTCGGTAGCGAGCTGATGTGGTATGTTAGCGTGATCGAGCTACAAGAGAGAGAGAGAGAGAGAGAGAGAGAGAGAAAGATCAGAGTGCCTGGGTTGCTTGACTCAGGGTGGGCACTCTGATGCTTAAGTTAGTGAACTGGGTTTGTAAGCTTGAAAGCGAGAGAGTTAGAGTGCTTAGAGAGCTAAGTCGCACGTACCTTTTCTATGAATGTGGATGCCTTTATATAGGCAAGTTGCTATGAGGCTCATGAAGCACATTCGAGATCTCTAGCCCGTTTGGTTTGGAGGAGGTTTTACGCCCAAAGATGAACTCTGCGTAAGCGAGTAGTGTCTATCCAGTTGCGCCCAAAGTGGGCAAGGTGTTAACCGGCTCTTCCGATGTGGTATCGTGACCCTGAAAAGTCAAAGACAATAACCCACTTATAGGAGAGGTCACCCGGCATGTCAGGCAAGTCGCTAACCGAACTTGGGTCAAGTTAGTGAAAGCATGTTGCCTCTTACGTTGACCTGATGTCTTGTCGGGCCGTTCACAGTTCGGCCTGCTGAAGTGGTGCTAAGGTTGTCAAGGCGGATGTGAGGTTTTCGAAGCACTCCAAAGATTTGCTTACATGGTGCTGAGATGTCACTTGGCTGTTTTGAGGTGCCACATGTCATCACGTCATTGAAGGGCCAAATCACCCCTTATGACAAACCATTTGTAAAACTGTGGCACTTCAACATATTTTATAGATAAATAAATGCACACACATGTAATTTATATTTTTACTTTTTTTATTTGTAAAAAGTGCTAAAAGTTGCAAGAAAATAGTTTTTTTTTTAGAAAATAGTGGAGTTTTGGCGTCTTAGAATGCATAGATGGGGTTGTACATACATTAACTTTGTACACCTAAGTACAAAGTTAAAGCCTTTAGAAGTTTGTAACTATGCAACCTATGACCCGGTGATCGGATTTAACAGATCAATGGTTCAACTGCCTGGCTTGAACAACTTTTTACTTTTTACCAGATCAATGGATTTTGATCAAATTCTAAGCCAAATCAGACCTATAATTATAGCTGGATGATGGTTGAGACAGTTCAATTGTCCAAGTCAACAAGGAGTTGAAAGCATTGCTAAAAGTTGCAAATTTGAAAAGGAAAAGAAGAACACTTTACAAAAGTACTGATATTTGCCTTGATTTTGGTGCAGGTCATACAGATAAATATATATATATATTTATATTGTTGGTAAAACAAAGTAAACCATTATATATATATTTTTTAATCTATTCTCATAAAAACAACCATCACAACCACAGATTCACATTAATTTATGAAGTCAAAGAGGACCCATTTGGAACATTCCCCTCAATACAAATTCCCCTCTCACCTCAATCATTTCTCAATTCTCACGCATCAATAGCTGTTTAAGGCTGTTGCTCCTCTCTAGACTACCTCTTCCTTCTTACACAGTTCTAAGGTTGTGAAAAGATGCTCGCAAAGAGGATGGAATCAGTTAAGAAGTTGGCAAAGAAGGTGAAGGCGATCCGCTGCGGTCGCCAACCGCCACAGTATGAGTGTTTGCTTAGTGATTCTGAGGAGTCTATCCCTAAAGCTATAACTCCAGTTGGGTTCTTGGCGATTTATGTTGGAGAGGATCGACAGAGGTTCGTTGTGCCTACTGGTTTCCTCTCACATCCTCTCTTCAAGATGTTGCTGGAGAAGGCCTATGATGAGTTTGGGTTTGAGCAGAAGAGCGGGTTGGTGGTTCCATGTACCGTCTCTACCTTCCAAGAGGTGATTAATGTGGTGGAGTGTTGTCATGGGCAGTTTGATCTTGGGAACTTGGTTGAGGAGTTCATCTAGTTGCTTGACAGGAAGCAATTTTGATCTTTTAATTTGTAAGTAAACTAATTATGGGTTATAATCTCTGATAGGGATGAGTTTTTCATCCAATCCAGTCACTTGTAACCACTATATATACATGACCAAGAAATTTCATAGATGAACATCTTCAATTCAAGATTGCAGGTGAAATCTTCAACAAGTTCTTCATCCTTTTTTGCTTTTTCTATATAGATTTCTTCAATTGGGTGCTCGTAAAGAACTTTGTTTTCAACAGCACCATCTATGATTATATCTATGAAGGATATCTGCAGCCATAAAAAACCCTACTCTATATATGATTTGCATCCGGAAATCCCCACTAGTGTTTTTTTTTTTTGCCTGACGCTCAGTTTGAAGGAGTACAAAGACATATATATATAGAGAGAGAGAGAAAGAGAGAGAGAGATAGAGAGAGAGTGTGCAAAACCTTATAATTTATATTATTTTGTATGTATTTGCTCCTTCCAAACTGAGCCAAAAGGGTTTCTTTAAGATCCTCTGAATTCTTTTCTGAATTAGGAAATCGCAACTGCAGCTCAAAGCTAAGCATGTAATTTCAAATAGACGTATTTTGATTTTCAATATACCCGGACCACAACTTCTTTATGAACAAAAGAAAAATCACCGGTTCTTTACAGTAGTAAGGAATGATATAAAAGTTAACAATGGATATGGCATTAGGATTTATGTAACAGACCCTATATAGTGAGATAAGGCTTAAATGATAATGATGATTTTAATTGAAACGTGATGAAGATGAAAAGAATGACTTAATTAACTGACACATGGCAAAGGTCTATTGGCTTAAAATTTGCCACATGGAAAGAGGGAGATCCAAAAATTCATATAACAGCTACCCACAAGAAGCTGCCGCCTGCCGGTGGCATTGGATAAGGACTTCCTCGATGGACAAAATCCTTTGTAATGACAAAAGCTTTGCTCTTATCGCCCTTTCCCTTGTGAAAGAGGGTGCATGATTTAATTTTGGCTGCAAGTCTGCAACCGAGGACATGAATTGTACTGAGAATCTTATGAGTGGCTATGGACTTCAGCAGACAGCTTTGTTTGTAAGTTGATATCTAACAAGATTTATTATTAGGAATTAGAATATGGGACATACTTCAAATTCCTCACACATGAGTTTAACAGTTGGGGGAAGACCCTTGATGTGCACCTTACCCTTGAAGGAGTTGAGTTTCCTCATATATATATATATATATATACCAACCAATGATGTGATGACACATCAGAAGGAAGCTTAACTGTGAGAGCTCAGATCAGGTAGGCACATTCCATAAGAAATTCGCATTGGATTCATGTAGAGCATGTCTCAAACGCGCCCTATAGCACATTTCAACCATGCATTGGGAACATCTCTCTATGACAAGTATAAGTATGGGATATTAACTCCCTCAGGAAATACACACGGCCGGAATCAGTACTTAATAAATATTCTCATAAATGAGTCCGTATCAGATCGGTACATTCCGTGAACACAGCACATCGATCAAGTACTCAGAAAATTTTTTGACACCTGTCCAATAAGCAAGAACCGATGATCAAGTTTTCCTCTTAATCTGATGTAGAATTAATTTCAGGGCACATTTGCCAATAGAGATCATGTTTTATTTTCAGAGAGAGAAGATGCATTTCCAGAGATCATTTTCAGGAAACCTAGTTGAAGCCTCGCGATTTAGAGGAAACATTTGGTGCAGTGACTTTGCCGTAGCATTTGTCGGGAAAAAAGGGCTATGAATTTATTATCTGCATTAACGATCATGGAGAGAAACAACATCCATCCTACAAAATACTTATCCACCTTGAAGGAGGCTACTCTTTCATGGAGGAGCTAAACTGTGGAAACTGCCACACTATGTGTGGCTCAGAAGAAGCTAAGAGAACATTTACACACTGTGTGGGGCTTAGTTTTCTTGGAAATGCCCAAGTTCAAAGTATCGATCGATGCTAGTTCCATTCAATCCAAACTCCTTAATTTTTCTGCTTTTCTTCTTCTGATCTCTTGTCAGTAGAATTGTCATGTTATGTTAAAATTTAGCATTTTGAGTACCTTAGATTTAGATTTGATATGAGACACATTGTATCGATACTTTCAACTTTGAAAATAGTCATTGAGTTGGTCAATAACAATATCGTCAGACTCGGACTGGTATGGACTGTTGAATCGGTGACCTTAACCACTACTCTAAGACCCGGTTAATTGATGGTTAAGGATGAACAAAAAAAACTGAAAAACTGAATCGATTGAAATTGAATCAAAAACCGAATTGATCGGTTTGGTTTTGATTAACCAATATAAGAAATCGGTGGTTAACTGAATTGATATGCATTATTATATGTATATTTATATTTTTTATATATTATAAATTATGAACTGAACCGGTCAATCGATTAATCGACTGATTTCGGTTCGATTTCAGTTACCGATTTTCCTAAAACCATCCAAGAAAAAGCCCCAACCGAACCGTGAACACCCCTATTGATGATTCTCGTGATCAAAAGAGTTAATTGCTACTTAACCAAAAAAACTATGATCCAATTAGCATTCCAAAGTAATCAGAAGACTATCAAGACCAATCACCCAACTGATGGAAACATTTGATGACATAACCAGCAACGCATTAGAGCTTAATTTTCTTAGGGCTGAACTTCAACTTGATTACATGCCGGTCACTGGAGTGCCTAGGATGGCCGCTTGTGTGCTCAATTCAAAGAGCAAATCCACTGTTTCAAGTCAAGTTGGAACTATAAATTCCTAATATTAAAGCAAGAAATGTTGATTACAAGCCATACAAAGAAGAAATTAGATTTGGTACTCACAAAATTATGTTCACACCGTTCCAACAGTGTCTTGCAGCCTTTAATATATTGGGAATATCTGCCTATTAAAAAAAAAGCATATAATTAGAGATATTCCCAATGCATGACTGTAAAAGACTGAAAAAAAAATGTGAGCACTGAATCCAATCTCTACAAAGAAGTAACAGCCACACTTAGAATTGAAGCATTGTAAGTTTACTAAGGGTTAGGAGCACAATTTTTCTTCTCTCTACTTTCAATCACAATAGCTATCTCTAGATCACTGTTGGAAAATAACGTTTATGTTGGACAAGACATAGTAAAAAGAAAGAAGGGGTATTGATTTGGGCACATCCCAATTTTAGTAGGGCTGAGAATGGATCAAATTGAATTTGACTACACGTATATCTTAATCCGGTTCCATAATTAGAGAGATCTGAATTCTACTCAATAAAGCATAGATCCGAAGTTGATTCATTTACATATTGGATATCTGATTAGATTAGAATATTAAATTTTAATAAACTTGGCATAAATTTATAAAATTATATATGAAAATGGTAATACCATAAATAGAAAAGAGTAGATTTATTTACCTAAAATTTTAAATTTCATTTAATTGAGATTAATAACAATATCCAAATTTGATCTGATTTTTAAAAGTAAATCTGATTCAATCCGATTAACAAACTGGTCATGTTTCAAAATCTAATTTGACTCATTAATGACCAAATGGATATCTTAATCCAACTTAACTGAATCAGATTTTTACCTGATTAAATTCGATCCATTTGCAGCCTTGATTTTGAGAGGAATAGCCCAACTAAGAAAGTTATACTTTTCAAAAGGAATAAAAAAAGAACTAGCTAGGGATGTCCCAAAAACACCCCCCCCCCCCCCCCCAAAAAAAAAAATTAATAATAAATAAAATTTATCTTTGAATATGCAAGTGTTAATTTAAATCCTATCCATTTGCACCCCTAACTCTTAGAGTAATACTCCCGACCAAAAAAAGTTACATTCTTTAAAAGACCCTAATTAGGGATGTGCCCAAATCAATCCCTTAAAAATATTTATCTTAAAATTTTTATCTTTGAATATGTAATGTTTACTGCCATCCACCTTTGTTAAGAGATACCACTTATCTTGATCTGAAGACTTCAGTGAAATATTAGACACATTATTTTATTTTTTTAAGCAAAATTTTTTTCATGGAGCTACATCAAAAGAAACTTCCTTTTCAAAAATGCATGAAATTTAGACAAACACAATAGAAGTGAAAACAAAAATGATGTAGATATATATTTTCATGTTCTAAGTTCTAACATTAAAGCTAAACTACTACATATATATAAAATCATGTAGAGGCTGTAGAATGACGCTATGACCATATTTGGTTTAATTCTCATTCTTTCTCATTCTTACCTAAGATGAAATTCTAAAATGGACAAGAATGGGTAAAAATAGGTAGAATGAGAAAATATTGCTATGAACCAAACATTTGTTTCCTAAAAATGAATTCTTTTCAGACTGACAAGTGTCCTATGTTGTTCATTTTCATTATTCAAAAAATAAAAAATAAAAAAATAAAAACTGTGTCGTTATTCATAAACCGCTAGCCTAGGTCTCCGAAACTGTTGGCATAGATGTTTACCGGTGGATGGCCTACAATCAATGTTTACCAGTTGGAATAGATGTTTTGTAAAAGTGCTTTTATAAAAATACTTTCGTAAAAGTGTTTTTGTAAAAAGTGCTTTCATAAAAGTAATGTCATAAAGTGCTTTTATAAAAGTACTTTCATAAAAGTGCTTTAGTAAAAGTACTTTTATAGAAGTTTTTTTATTAAAGTGCTTTCATAAAATTGCTTTAATGTAAAATTACTTTTATAAAAGTGCTTTCATGTAAAAGTACTTTTGTAAAAGTGCTTTCGCAAAAGTAAACATTTATGGCTTCAGTTTTGTAGGTAGAGTTTCCTCAAATAATGAAAATGAGCAAGATGGGGCATGATTGCTTTTCATGTTGCAAGCTACCCAATTTTTGTGATATGGGGCTGATTTTTCATTCTAAAAAGAATGTGGCCCATGGCAAGAATCTTGTAACCAAACACTCTAATGTTATTCATTATTGCGTAGAATGAGTAAAAAATAAAAGAATGAGACCTATAATGAACCAAACATAGCCTATATTTCCAATTAACACAAGAAGACTTTTATTCTATAACAATGTGTTGCATTTAATTAAGGACAAATTTCTTAAACTACCCTTATAATTTAATTAATTGACTATAGGTATGCCTGCTGTTTTTAAGAACTGTCTAAAACCTCACTTCCCATTAATTTTCCCCCACACTCGATTCACATGTAACATCTTAACAGATATTTTTAAAATTCCTAAAATACCCTTCTTATGAACTGTTTATCGTCTTCAACCTTGAGAAATCTCTCATAGTAACGTTTTTTCAAGTAACAGATATATCATCGCCGGTATCTACATTACCCAGAACGGTCCACCAACTTCATTTTTCTTTGTTAAACAGGAGTTTACATTTTTTTTTCTATTATTTTGGGGGAAAAGTTGTTCAGAATTTTCAGAGCGGTCCATTAAAAATTTTCTCCATAAAATCTTAGATATTTCAATGCTTCACCATGAAAGGTAGTTTCTTCTTTTTGGCGGTCGGAATCTGGAAAATCAAAATAGAAAACAAACTTGCATTTGGCCACCTCGAAAACCTCGCTAATCTCTATCAAGATAGGCGTTTCCGTAGCTTGAGAGTTGAGAATAAAGCCCCTATACCTGTATCTGTATGGCAACACTTTGTTCCTTCACAATTTTGACCTCACAAGTCACAACCGGTGGGATGTCCTTAATAAATCCTTGAGAGAAATCCAACTTCCAATAGCTATTCCATTTTAATCTGTGTCCAATTGATTTGTTTGTATCCACTTTTACTTCCTCTCTCCTTTCACTCTCCACTGCCCCTTCATGTCCGAGCCCACTGTTTTGAATCGATTTTGAAGTTGCTAATAAAGATCAGCCATGCTGCTATTCGTATATCCATCCATCAATTTTTCTTTTCTGGGTAATTACACACAGAATAGTGCGTTCCAGTACCATCTCAATCTCCTCCTCTCCATTCTTCCCGGTTTGATCACCAGCTTCTATAATGGCACTGCAGGCATGAGTCCAAACCAAGTTTATGCTCGGTATTTGTGCAGATTTAGGAGATGCTATGCCGCCTGAAGTTTGCCGGACTTGTGTCATAGCTGCTGCAAATCAGGATGTTGTGCAACGATGCCCCAACGATACACCTGAACTCATAGTCTCCTATGCAGATTATCCTAGGGAGAAGTGTGAAGTGTAGTCAAAAAGTTGAAAAGCTAGCCGGAACACCATATTCTCGAATAAAACTGAAGATGACATCCACATAAGATTATGGAGGTTCCACGTACAAATGGCAACAAAGGAGGGTGTGTTTCAGAGATGGAAGACATTGCACTCACATTATTAGGGAAATAGGTATTAACATAGGCCCTACAGCGAGAAAGGAAGAGGGAAGAAAAGAGGAGTTGACAAAATTTTCATTAGTTCGATTGGGTTTTATTTTGAAAATTTGAAGAATAGTGAAGGGTAAATTTGACATTTCATCTACTATAAGATAATATATAAACAGTAAGGATAGAATTAATTTAATTAACTAAACTACAAAGATAATTTAATAAGAAATTTTCCCTTTAATTAATTTTCCTGTTGAAATGTCCATCCTTTTAATAGTTATATACTCCTAGTGTGGCAATGCTTATCACCAACTAAAGCAGATTTTCTCATTGTTTGGCTGCAAAACTGATCTGATTTGAATTTTGGTGGCGGGTTCTGTTGTATAATTTGAGCTTCACCCAACATTGTGTGATGGGTCTTTAAGAAAATATTGCAAGTGAATATATAGAGAAAAGGTGTAGGGTTTTTTCATCGATACTTTTTCAACAATATTTTAAAAACCAACCCGGAAGAAATTTTTCATTCTTCATGAGAGGTTGAAAAATTCAACCTGATAGTTCACCCAGATCAAGTTTCTTTGGAGAAGACTGAAATTAGGAACAATTAATGCAAAGAAGATTAGCACGGAATTGTACAAATCACGAAAATGGAGAAGAAATCAAAACCACGTGAAAACAAAATTCTAAAGCTACATTTCCAAACAAAACGAGAAAGTCACTATGTATATAGCTCCCCTGGAACATATTTTAGTTAGGGATGTAAACGGATGACATTGGATTCGAATCCGATCCAACATTATTTGTGTCAAATCCCATCCGGTCCAAAGATCCAAACTGATTAGATAGGATTTGAATAAATCGAATCTTCGGATCTGATCCGATTCAACTTGTTTTTTTTTTAAATTAATAAATTATTAAAAGAAAAATAAAATATACTAATGTAAATAAAGAAAAAACAAAAGATACAAGTATTTTATAATTATTTTCATCATATATATATGTTTTTTATAACAAATAAATAAATAATATAACAAATTTATAAAAATATATTTATAAATAAATAAATAACACATATAAAAAATAGTGTCACGTGTGTACGAGTTCTGACAGAATATTAACGATAAGGGTAGAGTTAGGGCCCGTTTGGCACGTCTTTCCGTGCGGTCTTTCGACTGTTTACAAGCCGAGAAGACCAATTTTCAGTCTATTTCCATTTGGTGCGCGGAAGATCTAGCTACCAAAAGATGGAACACTGAAAAGACACAAGAAGCTCATTTTGAGCTGGTTTTGGGAAGCTTCTCGCATCTTTTGCATTTTAATCTCGCACGGAAAGATGCGTGTCTTCCAAACGTGCTTCGGGCTGCTCAGATCTTCATGCAAAAGCTCAATGTGTCTTTTGTATGTCAGAGCTACCAGAAAATCTTCCCAAAAAGATACACCAAATGGGCCCTTAATCAATTGTCAAACAGTAGGGGTATATTTAGTCAATTAGCTAGAGGCATTTTAAGAATTTTATCCTTAAAAAAGTGACCTTTTTACCGTCCACTCCACGTCAGAATTAATCAAAAATTAAATCCCCAAATATATTTATTTTCAGCTCCCCCTATAAACAGCATCCCCCACCATGGGAATCTTTCTCCCCCTTGACACTGACCCGAACTGTAAGGGCATTAAAGTTCAGCCATAGTTAAGTCTATAGCTGTCTTTAGTTGGAATTTGGTTTATGCATTGTAAGATATCATTTCGACCACAGTGAAAGAAGAACAAACAAAACAAACATGAAGAGAAAACTTAAACTCCTTTTCTCTTGCTATTAAAAAAGTATCCTAAACTTTAGAATTATGGGGTTATAAGTTTATTTTCTTTGATTTGGCAAGCAAGGTGAAAATTGAAAATTCTTCTGATGATCAAGGCCGTGTATTGGTAATAATATCTCCCATGAATGAAAAAATAAATTAATTAGAAATATTCCCAATGCCGGCTGATTCTTTCCAAGGATGAGATAAAACAAAGGCCCAATAGCACAAGTCTTATATTTCAGACAAGTGGCATCGTATTTTTTCAAGAAAAATGATCAAAAGGGTGATTATTTCACTCCCAAATATAAGCATTCTATTTTTTTCTGAATTTTCTTTTTTATTTCCAAGTTGGCAAGTCATTTTCAAAGAAAAGCTGTAGTAAACTAAGTAATAATCTAATCACTAAGCAAAGTTCACTAAATTAAGTAATAATCTAATTATATCCATTCAAAGACCTGTTTTACAATTAGGTAACTATTACCTAACCTAATTTTTTAACTTACCCCTAATCACTTAATAAAATTTTTACCATCTGAGTTTAGTAACATAATTACTGTAAATAAATTTAATCCTTACCTAATTAGCTTAGCTCATTAGTTTAGTTATCTAAAATGGACTTAAAACTTAAATTATCCTAAGTTAAGTTACTTTAAATTAAATCAAATTAATGTGAATTATTACATTAATGGTTCAGATCAAATGGTTTAAATTATTACATATACAAAACAAAGAACCCACCGTTCAGATCAAATGGTTCAGCAGTTCAACTGGACAGGTCACCAAAGACCTTGGAATCTGGCCTAACAATGGGTCAATTGGTCCAACTGGCCAGTTCAACCGAAGGTTAAAATCATTGTCCGGCAGTTGAATTGCCTCAAACAGATATACAAATACAATTGGTGGACACCCCCTAAACCAGTCTTAGAAATCGCATTTTATTCGTAAAGTTTATTTGGGGTCAACTCTCTTCTCAAGTCAGACCACCCATCCATTCGAATATTGGTGGAGTATTAGATGACCATGACCTATCACTCTATCAAGATTCAAGATTGACCACTGTGCTGGTTTGGTTAGGTTATGGGCATGACTGCATCATCATTTAATTTTTCTTTTTCAATGATTTACGTTTACTGAACCAAGCCATGAAAGAATAATGACTTGCAGTTATTGCCTCACTCACCCATGGCTTCATGCTTTGAAGGAATGTGCCCTGGAGCCTGGAGGAATGAATTCATGGCCATGCATAGACTATGGCATTGATTGAAGCAACACAGAATTCTTCTTTGGCCCAATGTGGGAATTTCAATGCCTTAGAACACTGTACACCTATCAATTTCAAGCCTCAAGTCTAACTAACAGATATATACAATTTCTTCTTCAGTGGCTGCAAATGAGGACATGTTTCTTAATTAGACCAATGGAGCTGTTGTGAGAAGAAATGATGTGGAAAAATGGAGAATGGAATCGACTTGGACAAGAAAGCCAGATGTGTTGCCCCCTCCCTCCAACTATCATACAATGCAGTTTTCACATTCTATTTGGAGATCGCATTACCTGCGACCATGGTCGCAAAACACTTCAGTGACCTCCAGTGAAATGCAAACACATCGGAGTTTGCAATACATGTTAGTGCCTTCAACAATGGATATGCCGATGCGGCATTAAGCAGAATGGAATGGCGAAACAGGATTCATGTCGCCAACCCCGTATAGTTGGGATAAGGCTTAAATAATGATGATGCATTGGTGCCCTTATGATATAAATTGAGATAACATACTTTAGCAGGGCTATAGAAATCCATAGTCAATAGAACATGTCCGGTGCTTCCCTTGAACTTGCTATATGAAGAAAGATTTAGTGGGCCTCAACTTATACCAGTAGATGCAAGTATCATGATTCATGTAAGTAAGACCATTTTCTCTGCAGCCCAATAACCCAACCAACCTGAAAATATTATGAGTAACAGGTTGCAATGAGTGGGCCAAGCAGGAGTACAAGGAGGTGGAGGTAGTATAGACCCAGCCCAGTCCATAATGGGCAAGAAATACTGAAATACAGCTATGACTGGGCTATTCCCGAACCTCAAACAGGAAGAATCTCCATTCATGCATCCTTTCTGTGCTTCCCTCAGCTATGCATCTCTTTCATTTGCCTGCTTTTGGCCTTTTTTTGTTAGGCATTGAACCCCACCTTAGGTGCTGAGTGGTGTCCATCCCTCCCAAATACCTAATACATAGTTTCCGTCTATGGACCTCCAATAAAAGCTTCAACCATGGCATGGAAATATGCAGTAAGTTGGCCCAGCCCACACCACCTTCATCAGTGGCCAAGTTGAATTGAAGTTAATGCTATGCCCTTATTCAAGAGAAAGCAAGGACTGGATTGAAGAATGGGTTGATTGAGGTCTGAGATCAGACAAACAAAGCAAGAGGAAGAAAATTCCACCACAAGTCAGCATATAGAACAAAGCAATGGCAAAGTTATATTTCAGTTTCATGCATAATCTGTATTTCTATTCATGGTACAAAAATGCAATATTGTGACAAGGCCAACCTTGTTTGACTGGGCTGGGCAGAGATGGATAAACAAAAGCCCAGCCCACCGAAACCCAAACACAGGCTAAACTGACTGTTCCAACTCTCCTTATGAGGCAGTTATTTATCTAAGCCAGCATACAACAGACCTAAAGTATGTTTGGAATCGTGACCAAGATGACTTAAGCTCTGAATGCGTATTCTGCAATTTCAGTCCCACTATTCAACTCAAAACACCACCACAAGTACTGTTACAAACTCAGTGGACACCCTTCCTTTTTCACTCTATTCGGTTCCTCTAGCTAGCTCACTAGAATCCTTTTCATGTTGTCAATCAGCTTTTGCATCTGTTCCCTGGAATGCAAGGGTGATGGATACACACAAGCACAGTCCAACTGCCCATTGCGAATTGTATCAAATATAGCAATGGAGGGACCGACACTATGAACTGAAGAGCAACCCATGTAATCTTCCAGTCCAACCTCTTGGCACAAATCATTTAAATCATCGATCAAAGGGTTCTCAAAAACAGAGATGAAGCAAGTTCTCAACGACGAGGATGGGGTAAAGCCTGGGTTGTCGATTGCCTTGCACATGAGGTAGTTAAGGTCACCCATGTCTGAGAAATGTTTGTTGCAATCCATAGAATTACTCAAGCTCATGTAGCATCTCTTTGCCAATTCCCATAGATCTTCTCCTCCCTTTATGTCGTGTGTGTTTAGGATGGCAGAGTGATAAAATCCTGAAACAGAGTAAAACAAGTTTGGCCAGTTCATTATGTATAGAATATAAGCATTTCATGAATGAATATTTAAACACACCATCTGAAGGGCCAGTTTTCTGCTGACTGACCATTCATGCACCCAAAAATGCAGAAAGGATTATAAAGCCAATTCTTTACGGATTACAGGTGATTTGGATCCTGACAAGCATACAATTATGTCATATTCTAAGGAGAAAACTTTGGCTATCCACATTCCACAGGGAGAGTCCCGTGGACAGCACAGGTTGTCGATTATTCCACAGGGAGAGTCCTATGGACAGCACAGGTTGTCGATTGTAGACAGCCAAATTTTTTCCTATTCCACAGGCTATGGTACATTTGGGAAACAAGCCTTCTATCCCTGTCTTGTCCAACAGATATGGAGCCAAATATAGTTAGCAACTTTGATACACCATATATCCAAACTTTCTGATACTAACTAGTGGCTCTACTCATCCCAGATTAAAGGCAGCTCTTGCAACTGAAATTTAACAAGTAGAAGAAAAAAAGCAAACAAATAAAACAAGTAGGGCTTTCATTACCAACCAAAGGGAAAGGAACAATAAAGGATGTATATGAAAAGTTTATGTATATCTGCATCTTTGTATTTTTTAATAGAATTGTATGGAATGGCATATGTTTTTTTTTTAAATGCAAAAGGAAAAAATGTGAATTTACTATAGAAACATATTTACAGAACATGAAGAATAGAGGTTTCAAAAATATGAAGTCTATACGGAATATTTCATTTTATAATGTATGTTTTTAACAAAAAAAAAAAAAAAAACTAATTATTCTTGTATGTATACACACAACTGGATATCAAAGTTCAAAATTTTTTAAATGAAAATGTATTAAAGACTTGATCTTTTTATATCTAACCAAGTATGCCTGACTGAAATCCCAACAGTATTTCTTTTAATCTTCAAATTGAACAATACATTTAGAAGAGCTTACCAAGATGACAGCTATGGAGAACTGGGTCCAAAAGGCTTCGGCAGTCAATGAGAGTAACAACAGCGTACTTCTCCGGGTGGTGATTGAGGAGGTCTTTAGATGAATGTGCGGCAATCAATCCAGCAGCGGCTAAGGCTCCAGATAATTTGATCCCTCGTTCCTTGCAAGCCTGCATTACAAACCCAATCCTTTGTTGTCACTATTTATACAAGACTGGGGTTGCTCAAGGGAAGGTCACCCAAATAGATATCTATTGATACAAATTTACCATTCCCTTTTTTTTTTGGATGAAACAAATCTACCATTCGTATGTACTTGTAAATGCATATATACACTGATACACACAGATACAAGCTTAATGTCAAAACTTGATAGAGCTGGCCCAAAGATGGCCTAAACTAATACAAATATTTTAGGATGGATCATGCCCCATAGGATTCTTTAAGTTGGGCTAAAACACATATTTTCTAAAGATGGAAAGCATTTAAAAGATTTTTTATAGATAAAGCATCTAAAGGATTGAATATATCCATATTCTACAATGTGGACATAACAATACTTTTTTGGTTGATGCATGATGTTGTAATAGGTCTGGTTCAACAAAATATGAGTATTGACAACATTTAGCCACAAAGCATCCCACTAAGGAAAATTTTATGTATACTCTAAAGCGAAATTCTGATGACAAAGAATGTTTCTGCTTGGTGTTTATGCCATGGAAGTTTTTCATCAATTCAATCTTTTTTGAGGTTCAGTTAGTTTTGATGTAAAAGGGGTAGAAAATTTGTCATTCTGAGATCCTTCAGCTGCATTTCTGCCCTTTTGTGATGAAAACAAAGTTTTCTGCCCCTTCTACATTGAAATTATTGTAACCTCTCAAGGAAACAGGGGAAATTCTTACTAGTGCTAATCCCAATGCATTAGCAAAAATATGTTTTAATAGTACCTTATACAATTCTAAATTTTTGAATGAGATGGTTCTCTAATTGCAATAACTGCTAAGAAATCAAATCGTAATGCAAGGATTTCTCCTTCGTTCTTTTGCTCAGAATTGTAATGCAAAGATGTGAAAACAATTTTGAGAATTTGGGACCTATAGTTTGCACAAAACTAATAAATCAGAAAAGGACTAACTCATAACTCTGACGATTGATGGACTACAGAGTGAAGCAAATAAGGAATAGCTAGCATAGAATTAGCTGAAATAGCAATAGCCAGAGAAGGAATATTGATAACAAAGGAAAATTGACTAAACAAGATATTGTTGGAAGGAGACTCAGAACTGATCATGGACCAGAAAAACCAGAATACCATGGAAACTAAGAGAAGTGATGATGGGCATTTTGAATATAGCAGCATAACATTGATTGACAATATGAATAATGCATATCCAGAGAAGAAAATCAATGTGGAACTTCCTTGCCAACATGGAACAAAATGGTGAAGAAGACTTGAATGAACAAGACAGATGAGATGTAAATTTCATTGTATTTGCTGTGTTTGGAATAAGGACTACACCTCAACTATAGTCATTTTCACAATGTAACCGAAAGAAACTCATTAATTTGTTTCTAGAACCAAGTCTAGACCAAACCCAAATCAAGGTGTTTTCCTATACGAGGACCTATCTCTAGGATGAAGTGCTAATTTGTTAACAATGAATCAAATGGTTAAATCTTAGTGTTGTATACTTGTAAAACACAGGGCCATTAATTATGGGAGTCATATTAGCCAGGCAAAAGAAAGGCCATTTAACTGGAGCTAGTCATATGTATGCATAATGTATATGCTAAGTACTAGGATATTCAAACTTTCTCCCATCAAAAAAAGGAAAAGGATATTCAAACTTTCAAAGGGCATAGGGGCTACGTTTAAGCTATCTAAATGGAGCAACTAGTGATTTTTTATTTTTAGGGCTACACAACGGGGTAGTCCATCCCCCATCCCCCATCCCCTAAACCCTCCCCACCCCTGGTGGCAAAAGGCAGGAATACATCTCACGTCTCGGCTACGATATGGCTTAGAACATACCAACTGGACCACCAATTGGTGTTGGGAAATTAGTTTCAAACATAATAGTTGAAACTCTTTGGCATATCTAACGACAACATCTAATGATTAGATCTCAACAACAAGTTCAATTTGGCCCATCAAAAATTAAATGGGCTTTTTTTCTTGTAGGTAAAAGGGCTACACAACCAGGGGGTAGCCCTCTCCCAACCCTTTGTGACTTGGGATAAACCTTATGGTGATTATAATCAAGGATCAAAATTCCGTCAGGCCGATACGTATCGTATTGGAGCCTTCCCGATATACCCCTACAGGGGGTGTTTCAGGTCGGCGAGTGGTTCAAGGGGTAAACTGGCCTTAAACCAGCCCCTTTGAACCAATTTCGAAAAAAAATTAAAAGAAAAACATAAAAAAATAGTACCGATACAGGCTGATACACCCTACTGGCATATCGCCCTGTATTGATATTTTGAACCTTGATTATAATGATTAGGTATGTCAATGGGTCTGGTTTGCTGACCCAATGCAACTCCAACCTCAGCCTGCCCCACCCCGATAAAAAGGAGAAGGAATATCAAACACAACCCGTCCCATGTATAGTGCACTTGCACTCAACTAAATCTATATCTATACTACTTTAAAAACTACAAATAGCCTCAATAATATTTCTGTAATTTTTTTAGGGCAAAATTTATCCCTCCATATTTAAATTTATTGATAAAAAATAGGGCAAATAGGGTAATTGGTTATTGATATTAAATGGCTTTAAAAGAGGTAATTTTAAGATATTCAATGCATTTAATCCTCTCTCATTAAATCCAACATTTAGGTATTAACTTGCATTCACCTTCATTGAGTCATATATTTAGGGCATTTTTATTTATGCTCATCATTAAATTCTATTAACTTAATCCATATATAATAAATTAATAATTTCAATAATACAAAAGCTTATACTTTTAAAATATACCTTGAAAAAAAGTGTTTTCATCTAGGTGGTGATAAGAAATTAAATTATTTTGGGTCAAATGGGATAATCTATGTTTTTACAATTAAATAATAAAATTCAAAAATAGATCAAACATAAAAAAAAAAATATATAGAAATTTAAAAAAAAATGAAAACATTTTTAACATCATATATCTAGCATATTAAACAAGAATAAGTATGATAAATAAGAAATGATTTTATTAATGATGAAAATAGAATGTAAAATTTAAAACAAATTGAAAATAAAACTATTTTCCTGTTTTCACTCATTAAATCTCATATCTAAGGTATATTCTCTCATTAAATCCTATATTTAAGATGTATTTTTCTCATCATTAAATTATATTAATTAAATTCATAACATTAACTTTACTAGTATAAAAATAAATATTTTAAAAAATGAATTTAAAAATAAAACCATTTTCTTCCCTCCCGGTGGTGGGTAAGTAATTCTAACATATGAGGTCAAATGGATTAATAAATAATATCATAATTAAATAATAAAAAAAAATAAACACATAATGCAAATAAAAAAAAGAAATGAGCATATCTCTAATATTGTATATTCATTATACTAAACAAAAATAAGTATGAAATGTAACAAGTATTCTTATTAATGTTGAAAATGAAATACCAAATTTAAAATCAACATAGAAATGAAATGATGCCATAGCCAAATAATAAAATGGAGATCTGAACCAAACTTGAACAAATCTGATGAAATCCAATCCATTTACAGCACCACTACTTAGGAGTGTAACTAGTTTCAGAGTGCAGATTTCAGACAATGGCCCAGATCCCCAACTAGATAATGATGAATCAAATTCTAATTAGTTTAACAGAAGCTCCAACAGTTAACATGCTTTCTCTTCCCCCAAGGAATATTGCCAAACCTTTTCCCCACTAATCCAAAGTAATAAAGTTAACCCTAATCAACAATGTCCAAAGTGAAAAGTACCAACATATTGTTTTGCTTATTTAAAATAATAAATAAACAGTAAGAAATACAAGCATCTTCTTCCTCCACTCTCCACCATGGATTGTTGATTTGAATTTTATTATTTTCTTTAGAGAGGGGGTTTAGAATCTACCTAAAAGCTAGTTTAAAATAAGGCGACGAGTGGGGCGCATCCTTTCTTTTATAAATGGGTAGATTCCATTTCAAAAAGAAAAGCTAAAAAGATACCCTTATTTCTTTTTTATAGTAATAAACTAATAATAATAAACTGAATAGGCAGGCGACCAACCCAACGGGTCCCAATGTACATCTCGATGATTTAGACTTGAGATGTTATAGGACCTCCCATAAATAAATTAATTAACTAAAATAAAATAAGCCACAATGTCACTGTGGAAGAAACCAACCGGACATCCAAATTTGATATGTTTATAATTAAATTTTAATAGAAATTTGGGTTAAATAGGATAGGGGTGGATCCGTATTTGATCCGATTATAAACAGATAGAATTCGAATATGAATCTAAACGGATACCTTTTTTTTCTTGCAGCGTAGGTTAATGTGACTGGATTATAACTTAAGGTTAGGATCGGACTGGCCCGGATTGAACCAATATTCAGTCGATTGACATATGATAAGATTACGAGTGTAATGGATCAGATTTGAATTGGATCCTATCTAAAATTCATACCAATTTAAACAGTTTGAAAGGTTCAGATATTGAATTGAACCAGTCCAGAATGGTCCAGATTTCAAAATATTAATCGGATTGGATTGGACATGATCCATTAACAATCGATTCATACTAGACCGGTTCGGATCGGACCAATAATCACAGGATTGATGTAGACCGAAGACAATATTTCTCAATTTCAGATACGGTTCAGATCAGCCACATCATCTCTCCACGTGGCAAAGATAAGCAAGTCGGGTATCCGATTAGGAACTCTTTGAAGGGTGAGAGAGAGAGAGAGAGTGGGTGTAGAAATTCACTCACAGTGATGAGTCTAGTGGTGTCGTCGGAGTTCATCTGCAGCCGCACCACCTCCGACGATCGGGGCGAGATAGTATCCAGAAATTCCAGATTTGCGAATCTGAACGAGTTCAGCGAGTAGCCCAGCAAATCAATTCCACGCGCCCAAAACGGCTTATTGGCCTTCCCACTCGGGATGAGTTCCTCGATTCCCAAACCGACCTCCCCTTTCTTCCCGGTTTTAATCCCCTTCTCGTCTCCCACCAACCGCACCATCTCTCTGAGCACAAACTCCGCCGACGTGCGGTCGCAGACGGCCGTGTGAAACCGAAGCGCTAGAACCCATTTCGTGTCGGACAGCGAGTAGAGGCTGGCGAAAACGGTCTCCGTGTCGGGGTGAATCGGGGGCTCGTGTTTGGGAGACCAAGGGTTGCGTTTCAATTCGTGTTCGAGTACACAGTGAAACGGGGAGATGAGGGGGTTGTTTTGAAGGAGATGAGAAGTGAAGGGGACGTCGAAGGATTCGATTTGGAGGGAGGGAATGGGGGATATGGCGAAGGAGAAGGTGTTGGTGGTGGGGTCGTGGGTGAGTTTGGAACGGAAGATAGGGTGGGAATTCTGGAGCTTGTGGAGGGCGTTTTGGAGAGCTGAGATATCTGGGAGCTTGGAGAGGAGGAGAGACAACACAGTTATGCCGGTTCCGCCCGGCACTGCTCGGCACCAGCTGTACTCGGTCCCGCCGACTGATCGACCCTCCGATCCCGGTTGCTGACTGTTGTCTGTATCATTGAAGTTCTGACCCGCCATGAGAGAGAGAGAGAGAAAGAAGGAGAGGGGAGGAGGAGGAGGTGCTCTACTGCCTGCTTTCTTTAGGCTGGATTTTTAGTATTTATCAGAAAATATATATTTTTCACGTGGTTGAAAGTGATGGGTTACGCAATCTGCTTCCTATCGCTTGGCGCTACTGGCGCTACTGATTGAAAGTAATGAAATGAGCGAAGATCAAATAAAACTTTGAAGAGTAGTTGTTATGATTTCTTCGAGCAGTCGGAAATTCAAGATACGAGAATTTAATCAAGGAAGGGGAGAAATTACTTAAATCTTCTTAAAGGTATCTTACTTAAGGGTTATGTACGAAAACACCCCTATAATTTCATATATTTATTTAAATTTATCTTTTCATTTTGTTTTAATGTTTTTGGACTGCCATTGACCCGGATGGTCAGACCGTTTGGTCCGAGAACGTCCAGGCAGCTGATTCCGTTTCACCCTTGGCCAAACAATGTTGATTTGGTCATTAACCCGTTGATTTAGACAATTGAACTGTTTGATTTATTCAACGGCTTTTACCATTTTTATTTTAATATTTTTTTTAATTTTCTTTTTGTAAGTTAGAATAGGCTATTCATTCAAATTGGACGATTGAACCATTAACATAGAAATCGATGGCCACAATGGTTCTGGTTCTTAATCGGTTTTTAAAACCTTGGTTTGTTTTGACATGAAAAACAAAGTAACATTATCATCTAAATTAAGTGAAAAATGTTGAAGGACACCAACTAATGATTATTTATTCTAAAAGTATCTCAAATATTTCTTTGTATAAAAACAAAATTGACCAATTAGTGTCAAATAGAGTGGTTGCTCCTATCTTACAAAAATGATGGTTCCATTCGCATAGGGGTTTTTCAATAAAATATAAATAGAATGGGTGTTTTAATGAAATCAAACTATAGGATAGGATTTATCCATGAAACTATAGGGAGTGTTCTAGTAAATGACCCATTATTTAAACTCCTATGGTAAAAGACTTAAACATCTCTTGGGTCTTTTTAAGGGTAAATTACAAAGACCCCACTGTACTATGGGGTCTATGACAAAGACCCCTTATACATTGTTTTGCGACAATGACCCCCTATACTATGACTGTGAGACAAAGACCCCCCTTGACAGTTAAGTCAAATGAAGGAATGCGTTAAATTACCAAAATACCCCACTAAATTTTTTCTATTTTTTTTGCCCCTTTTCTCTTAAAACCTATTTAACCTATTGTTTTCCCTTTCTTCTCTTCTTTTCCCCTCCCTCACCGTCCTCTCTCATTCTTTCTCTCTCCCAACTCTCTGAAATGAAAGGACAGAGGAAACCCATTTCTCATCTTCCCTTTCTTCTTGTCGCGATCATGGAAAATTGCAATGCTTGATAGCCCAACAACAAATGTTTGCCCAAATCTTCATCTTTTCCGTCTTCCATCCTTTCGTCATCATCATCATCGACTTCTGCTTCCATGGCAACCAACAAAGGGAGAAAAAAAAGACAAAAGGACTTGTAGTTGATGGAGCTGGAGCTGGAGACTCTCCTCCTACAGCACTTGTGGAGTCGAACCCGAAGTCACCTCCCTTGTAACACTTGCGGAGCCAGAGCCAACATCACGTCCTGACTTGAAGACCCCATCATCACTGCTAATCTTTCCTTTGCCATCCACGAGTCCTGCAATAATGGTAGCCATCGACCTGATCTCAGGGTCATGTTTTCTTCACCACTTGACAAGGGTAGATTCATCAAAGAACATATCCTTACTTAATAGCTTATTATTGTTTTTTTTTTTTGTGCAACTGAAACTAATTTCTCCAATTCCACAACCATGGGTTTCACTTCTTGAGGAGGTTCTCCTCTAGCAGCATCAAGGCAGAGCTCCTCTACCTTGGCCTAGATACAGGGCTCAAAATAGTCTCCTGCTACCTTCTTATTAGCATGCTCAAGCCATCTCTGTTTATACCTATAACACTTTGGCCTAGCCTGTTTCATGTACACCCCGGTGTCATCATTCTTCGAATGCCAATAGAAATTGGCTATGTCCAAAGTTTCCACAAGGCGTTTGAACACCGTACCCAACTCAGCCCAATCCGACTTAATCTCAAAGTCATCGGGCAATTCATACATCTTTAGCATCTCAATAATCTCATCCCACATCCCTGCTAACTCGAGCTTGGTCACATTGGCCAAGAAATCTTTTTTGCCTTCTTGGCGTTTGAAGGAATCGTAGTAGCCTACCTTATCTACCTCACATTTGAATCGATAATTGTTTAGCTTCCTGAGAGCTATTTTGATTTTGCCACAGTTAGCCTTGATCTTCTACTGCTTTTCTAGTTTTTGCCTCTCCGACTCTCCTATTGCGCAGAGGCACAACCTTGCCTTCGTGCTCTGGAATGCGGCATAAGCACAGAGAATATCACCTAGCAATTTCACGGTGGCGGAAGTTGCCTATCCGGCTGCATTTGAGGACGGGTTGAAAGTTTTAAACTGGTTAGGGAAGCAAGCAAATGGAGAGAGAGAGAGATTGGGATCTGAAGAATGCAGTAATGGAGAGAGAGATCGGGATTGAATTAAATGGGTTCAATCCCAATGCTGTTAAGGGGAAGGGAAAGAAGAGAGATCGAGGGAGAGAGAGAGAAATGTGAAGGAACGAAAGGGTAGTATCGGAAGGTTGAGGAAGACGAATAGTGTTTTTCTCGTCTAGTTATTACAAGGGTAGTATGGGGATTAAAAAATACTGTAATGGCATTTTTGGACGAAAGGCTAACGAAAGGGAGTCTTTGTCTCACGGTCATAGTATAGGAGGGGTCTTTGTCGCAAAACCAAGTACAGGGGGTCTTTGCCACAGATTCCATAGTACAGAGAGGGCCTTTCTAATTTACCTTTTTTTTAAATAATGAAACCTCTCTTATCAAATGCATTATCTAGTCAATGATGAATCCTACAACCATAGATGTCCAATTCTCAATGAATGTTGAATTCACATCTACGCCCTGTCCCACATGCACATCTCAGCGTGCATTGGGAACTTCTCGTACTTGTCAATGGGAGATGTTTCTAATAGACGGTTGGAATTGGAATATGCAGTGGGTATTTGTGGGATGCATTCTATGGGGTGCAAATGTGAATTCGTGAATGTTAATGATTTTTGACCAACTTGAATTCCTAGTTCAATGAGAAGGAGAACAGCTTCTGTTGGAGCAAATTCATGCCTACAGCATTCCAACAGTTTTTTACAATCTTGCATTGAGAATATCTCACCATGAAATAAAAATACATAAATACTGAGACATTCTCAATGCAAGGCAATAAAGGCTGCTCTAATGGGCTTTACCCTGACCCAAACTAAACTCAGTATACTTGATACTTGCACAGAGAGAGGCCACTTTTGGCATGGTGATAAGGAATGGGAGACATTTCTAAAACCATGTTCAGATTTTCTACCAACACTATTCCAACAAGTCATTACAGTCGCACATTGGAAATATCTCCCCAAGTCCCCATGAATAACAAGGCAGATGTTCCCAATGCGTGGCTGCAATAGTCCGGGATAATATTGGGAGCATTTTGTTGGTATCATATTCCTATTCACAGTGAATACAAAATAATAGAAAAATTTTAGCTGTTGGGGGTCAACAGAGAGAATTTTTGGAAATGCCATGTTACTATGAGAACAGGTAAATTAATAATTACATCTTAATTTGTTTTGACTAAAAACCAAAGTATGGGCATGAATAGGTGAACTGCCCAGAACTGTCCAACCTAGAAACTGTGTCAACAGCTTATGCTGTTGGGCCCCAACAGGCAAAGTTTACCCCAAAACAACAAAAGCAAAAGGGGGTTAATTTTGGTTGTTGGGCCCCAACAGTTAAGACAGTTTCCAGGCTGGGCAGTTCACCTATTCATGCCCATGCTTTGATTTTTAGTAAAAGTAAATTAATATATAATTACTAATTTATTCATTTTAATGGTAACATGGCATTCCCTAAATTTTCTCATCATAGGCTGTTGTCCCCACCAGCTAAAGTTTTTCCGGCTGGTGGATCCACGCTTTGTTAGTGAGTCCATTTGTGAGTTGTGACGCAAATAAATGGATGTGTAATTATGTTTGAATAGTAAATATTCAACCGAAAAAATAAGCTAATCAAATAAAAAAGCTTGATAGAGAAATGAAAAAGGATTAGCTAAATTTATTAACTGTTTTAGTGGTGTGAGACCAATCATTTTTCTCTACACCATTAATCGCTGTTGATGTGGAGCAAAATGATCAATCTCACATTTGGTGAAACAGCTTTTAAATTCAACTAATCCACTCTCATCAAATCAAATGTTGTTGGGTATATCTAACTTGTTAGTAGGGATGGCAATTTTTTTCATTTTTTCAATCTATGTGGAGATCTGTCTTAAATGAGGCAGGAATGGGGATGATTTCCCCCAGGGAACGGGTAGTGGTGTTCAAGGGTCGGGTTAGGTCGGTTTGAGTCATTTTCTTCAACCGACCCAACCTAGTCAGTTTACTTATTGACTACTCTGAAACCGACCGACCCTAAAGCAAAACTGACTCAAATATGAAGGGTTGGTTTGGGTCAGTTTATATAACAATTAAAATATTAGTTTTAAATAGTCCAATGTGAACACCTTGGTCGGTTGGGCTCCAACTCCAACATGCAATAGTTGAAGACTCCAACTCCAAGTATCCAACCTCTCTTTTTTTTTTCTCTCCAAAACTAAAGAGTGAAGACTCCAACGGTCCCAACTCCCAAAGTGTCTATCCATTCCAATACTCCTTAACCCAAAAAGGTAATAAATAAACTAATAAAGGTAATAAATAACTTAAATTTCAAGTTAACTATGATAGGGAGTAGGGATGGACTAAGGACTACTGAGTAGGGACTAATTAGTAATTACCTAAACATAAAGGGTTGGATTGGTTCGGTTCAGTTTCGGTTTTCATACAGTTGTTAGTCTATTTTCTCACACAAACCAAAACCGAGTAGTGATTTTAAAAAACTGACCAACTCGGATTGGGTCGGATCGGATTGATCGGTTTGACATTTAATGTGAACACCCCTAAGGATGGGGATGGGAAAATTTTCATCCCCATTGGCGGGGATGGGGTGGGGATGGAAAGAGCACTCCCTGCCCCGCAGAAACCCTGATCCCTGTCCCGTAGGATCTCCGCTAATATATGTATATATGTATGCATACATTTATATATGTATATAGCTATACATG